AAAAAAAAAAAAAAAAAAAAAAGAATTCTCCAAATTCTCATTCTAGTTTTTATTTTAATCATTTCAAATGTTTCTTTCCCCTCACTGAATATTTAGCTGTTAGGAAAATCATGATTTACTGGTTCAAAGACTGACAGTCAAGACATTTTTCACTTTCGGGGCCAGCAGATAAGAAGACAATTATTATTAAGCAGGTTAGGTAATTCTTGATAAAATCGGTTTATGTATCTGTTGGAACTACCTTTCCTTCCTCTCCACCCTCTTCCTTGCAGGTTGGGAATAAGGAAAACACCCAGTCACAGATGATACTGAATCTGTTACTTAAAAGGAGGTAGAAAATGATATTTGCCTTTTTTTTTTCTTTTATGTAAGACTGGAATTCCTCGTTGTCCATGTGTGAACATTTTATTCCTTCTATTTTTAATCTGTGCAAACAGACCATCTCTGAAACATTAATTGCAGAAAATAATTAACATTCCTGGTAGTATCTCAATACAATGCTGTGCGTCTCCCCTGAAGTGCATTCTGTCCTATCATTTGCATCATAAGAAAGGGAAAGGAAAAAAAGATCAGATTTACTCTGTTACTGACACTAAGATAATAAAATAGAACCCCCCCCCTGCCAAATAGAACCCACATCAGTCGAGAAAACTTCTTCCCAAATAAGCAATAGCTAGTCCTCTGAGGAAGGATATATATAATCTCTATGTTGGGGAATATTTAAAATTAAAGTATTTGTTTCAGTAGAATATTTTTTTAAAGAAAAATACAAAAGAGATGAATCATCCTGTTATTTCCTTAATCTCCACCATTTATAACACAAAAGTAGCTACAAAAATAAGGTTTGCAATTTTTTTTATGTATAAAACCAGCAATAATAATTTTTTCTACAACCCCTTTTGCAATGAAATAAAATAGTTCATGGCTCTGAACATAGAACACAACGATATGGTTGAGGAAGCTCAGAGGTCACTCAGGATAAAAGCAATTATAGCTGTTATGAGCTGAGCATCTGGAACTAAATACAAGAGGTTTAGATTCTGGTTCTACTATATCACTGACTACCCGAACCATATGCTATGCTAGTTACTTAATCTTCTGGAATGTGTTTCTTCATCTAAAAAAATGCAGATTCTACATATTTTCATAAAGAAAATGTTTTCTGCAGAGCCTATTTATTACAGAATAAACAATAAATGAATCATAAATTTACCTGGTCTTAAATTGACAGATAAGGAAAAGGAAGGTTTAAGCTCAAGGCTTGCCAAAGAAACTGAGTTAATCATTGAACTTGTAATAAAATAAGAAATTCCTCAAATTCAGAATTTTGTTATAGAGATATTCTACTTTCCATTTTATTTGTTTGAGAAAAGTAAATGGTATCCCTTATCATTAAAGGAGCAATATCATAGAGAGAGAAATTGATTTGCATGAGAACATCAGACAAACTTCAAAGGAAAGTAGGAATCAACAAAATTATATTAATTCGCCCTGTCCAGTAACATTTTACCACCAGTCATCATTTTTGTTCTCCAATGTATATTTCAGAAGGATGTATCTAATAGGTTCAGGGAGGATTTGACAAGTCAAGAATCTGTGAATGAATGTGAAAGCAAAGTAACACAAACCGCTCAACTTTATCTGAGGGCGGCCAAAAGTCAGTCCAGTGACAAGGTCAACAATATGAATCAAATCTCAAGGAGGGGGATTAATAAATATATGTAGCCAAATGTTTCTGTTTTAAGATTCTGATGACATTAAATTCTAGTAGCTTGAGATATTTTGAAGCCCAAGGACTGCAGCAAGTAGGTCTTCTAGTATACAGAAGACTATCTCATTATCAAATATTTCTATCTTTAATTTCCCCTTGAGCATAGGTTTAATTTTTAAAATGTTGTCCTTGCTATTTATTCTTCAGGGAGACTTTCTGACAATTGAAGGATTTGAGGAGCCACCTAGTCTTACACCCCATGAAAGTTCAGAGTGGGGTTTAGATATTTTCGCAGGACTCTGAAGTGATCAGGATTCAAGATGTGATATCCTTAAGTTTCTTCTAGCACCTTTCAGTTAATCAGAATTTCATCAACATCCAAAATATCTAATCCTCTACCAAGAATATAATCCAACAAGGAGTTATAGTCTTTCTCAATGCTTGAACAGCTAGATACTCTGTTGGCCCCTGAGAGAACAGTGAATACAAAAGGATCTGTTTTATATAGTATAAATAAGAGGATGTTGACAGAACTTTTCCTGTTGTACTGAAATTGAAATGCAAGGTTCTCGTTGAAAACAGAAAGGTGGTAAGTCTAAAAGATTCAGCAATTCCTCTTCACATCCCAACACACACTTAGTAAAGACCCTACAAGGGTTAGCTCTGAAACCACCAAACCCAACACTTTTCCTTCCCTCTACATCTATTTATCTATCCGTCTGCATCCATCTATCTGGCAATAAGAGGTAGGAAAGTTGGGGAACATCCACCTCTGGAGAAGTCAACCATCATGGTGAGAAATTTTCCTGTGAGACAGAGGCAGATGGTAGGTGCTTTCTACTCCTCAAAGCCACGTATGAAGGTGTAGGTGAGCAGTGGGAGTTCCATAGGTTCTCTGGTAAAAGGTGAAGCTATCTATGAGAAAGCCTGCATCTGCTTTGCAGTCTTCCAGTCTGACAAATGGCAGAGTCTAGGAGGATGAAGTGGCATGTAGTGGCTCACAGTCCCACATTTGTAAGTGATGAAGATGTGATTCTCAATTTCTGGAGAGTCATAAAGATGTCATAGAGGGTATTTGGGCTAGACTTCTCAAGAGGGAGCATAAGTCTATAAATAAACCTTGGTATGTGAAGCAGGTTGGAAGCTGTTTCTGCTTGTAGCAAACAAGTGAACTCTTTCCCTTCATTGGTGCTAACATTCTCTAAAGAATCTGCACATATATCTCATGAGAGATGCAGTAGTGGGGTTGGACGCTCCTTCAGAATTTACCCAGTGAAGATGTGTGGAAAAAACCCTTCAACCATAGTAGGTTAAGTAAAACAAAACAAGGCAAAACAAAGCAAAAATCATTTTCCTTTCTTTTCGCTCCTCATATCCCCCAGGTTTCAGGACCAAGGTCATTGGAGTAAGAAAAGCAAGAAGAGTGACAGAACTAGTCTTGGACACATGCAGCATCCACAATAAGGTACTGAGGTGGGAGGGAGAGTAAAAAGCAGAATACAAATTTGGCTACTGGTGGGACAGGAAAAAGATTTCATATATATGAGGTTGAAATTTTTTATTGGATTGTGCCTTTAATGTTGAAGATGACCAAAAAGTTATAGAATCTGCTGAAGATGCCACTAAAGGAAAGGAAAAGATATTTCAGTAGAGCTGTCTGAATGCTGCAAGAACAAAACCTTGTTATAATCCTTAATTCAACAAATATTAATTGTGCCTGGCCCTGCTCTAGACTTTGGTAATACACCAAGCCAAGAACAAAACAAAATGTCTGCTCTTGAGAGCATGTGGAAAAAAGAACAATAAACAATGGTATAGCTACTGATGGGATTCTATATAACCATATATGCTTTCTATGGTGGGAGAATATACTTATAAAACTCATTCATTGAGGTAAAATTCTACTTTGGTTCCATGGATAGACCCCTCTCTGAAGATGGTATTATACACAGAGATTATTTTATAACTAAGGGCACGTCTTTTGTTTTGGTCCTCTTTACCCAATCCCAATGAACTGCGTGATGGAGTGTCTACTGTATGCCGAAAATTGTGCTTTGGTAATTGAGAGAAGCGTAGTAATATATAATTTGATGGAACTCACAGTTTGATTGACCAAGGAGGGTATGGATTAGAAATCAATTTAAATTAATTGTTTTTCTTAAATTAAATAAAGCTCTAGATTAGAAAATTAAAAAAAAACCCAAACAAAACAAAAACAAAAAGACCTCACCAAACCCCCCAAAATAATAGTTTCAGTAAGGGAATCTAGGTTTATCTCTCTCTTGGGAAAATAATTTAATCATTTTTATCAGTTTGTTACTAATCTTGTTTCCTGTAGTGTAGATATTTATGACTTCAGAAGTCAAAAAGGAAAAATGATAGTGGTCTTTGTTAGGAAATAAGACTTAAAGGTCAAACGATCAAACATTAGCTTGCCTTGGCATTTGATAAATTTAGAGAGCATATTGCAGGAAAAGATAGAGTAGAATTCCTTAAAACAAAACTAAGCAAAATAACAACAAAAACTCCAAATAGTGGAATATGTGCTTGAACTTCACATCCCAGTGTTAAGAAAAACAGGCCAGGAAATAAGAATTCTGAGAGAGCTAAGAGGAAACATCAAAGGAATGGGAAGGGATCTTTGTCACTCTGTCAAGTGCTATGACTGAAAAAGCTAATAAACACACATAGGATAATGTATTTGATATACATAGTAAAAGGGAAGTGTGTGTTCTGAGTGATACTGATGGGGAGCAAGTAACTATTCCTCATTATTCTCAGGACTTGAGATCAAATACCTGTAGAAATTCTTTTACACCTGGATTTGGCAGAGTGGATTCACCTACCCAGGGTGGGAACATGGTATCATTCAGAAAGTTGAAAGAAGGCATCCAAGTCAGAAATACCAATGTTTCTTTTCTTTGAGCTGCTGAGCCATGGGGGCTTGGTAACCACTCATCTGAATTATGAGCCTCCTCAGCAGCTAGACACAAGTGGAACACACACTTCTTAGAAAGTGGGGAAAAATATCCAATGCATCAGTTTTGCAGCTGAACTGACATGATTCCATGAAGATATGGAAAATTTTCAAGATTGAGTTAGGGGCTTCTGACGCAGATTGGTAACTACTCCAATGTCTTGTAATTCCTTTACTGGAACATTTTCACATGGTCTTGTCACTATTTTCAGTCTGTCTTATCCAAAAGCTTTATCTTCAACTGGATAGAGACAACCTATTTTGTTGATCTGAAGGGTCTTGTAAGCAGTCCTGGTTAAACTGGGTACTTCATAATTTTTTCCTGATCTAATAAAGGCAGGAAGAGAAGTTCTAGAGGAGTGATAAAAGTAAGCTGTGGGGTTCAACTCTGTCTTTGCATATCAGTCTGGAGTGGTGAGCTGTCCTTCCCTCAGCATTTATGGGGTTTGCCAGGGATACCTTCCAGAGGCAGAGCTAAAGAACTGGGGAGCCTGATTTTATACTACAGATATTACGGCCTTCCAGTGTACAATTTAGAGCAGTGATAACCATCTTTGGATCTTTGTTTAGGAGAAGTGGTGGCTACCTGTTTTCAAGTTACAATTTTGCTGTGATACACATTTATGTAAGAGCCAGATACGAATAAACATGACTAAAGAACTGTGTTATATTTAATCATGGTGTCAACCTGAAGGAATTAATAAATGCCTATCAGATGAGTGGAGCACAGTTCTGGGTTTCTCTGTGGATGATTGACAAGTAAGCTGAAAACTGAGGAGGGAACACTCACCCTAAATGTGGGTAGCACCACCCAATAGGCTCACAGCCTCAATGAAATAAAAAAGGAAAAACAAGTGTTTCCTTTTGCTTTTTCAAGAAGCTTCTGTATGGGACTTTTGTCCGAGTCCTTTCAGGCTTCCCAAACAATTCTCTTTGGCTTTGTCAGGCCTTTGGCTTTCAGTTGGATCCTGAAGCTCCCAGTGCACAGACAGTTCTTTTGTAAATTCTTGATCCCTGACTCTGTGGGTGGCCATTGTAAGATTACTTTGTAAATCCTTTATAAATCATATGCATAAATATATGTAAATCTGTACCTCTAGTGAGCCCAAACTAGTACAGATTTTAATACTAGGAGTGACAGTTTATAGAGGGTTTGCTAGCTCCAAAACAGGACAACATGGCACTAGGACATGGCAGAGGAGAGTTGCTCATGGCATGGCAGATAGGAAGTAGAGAGAGACACTGGGGGAAGGAGATATACCCTAAAGTGACCTCAGTGACTCTCTTCTGGCCAGGCTCCACCTCTAAACATCACATTTAGCTATACACTCATCAGTAGACTAATTGAGTGATGAGTATCATGCCTCCCTGAAGCAATCTTACCTTCCAAAAACCCCACCTATGAGTCCATGAGGCTTTGAGGGGACATCTAGATGTAAATCATGACAGGCTGCATAACTGAAATTTACAGAAATTTTTAAAGCTAAAAAGACAAATGCCCTAATGTTTGGTTAAAGACCTTATATTACATATTCATTTAGGCCAAGGAATGGAACTCTATTTGGCTCTCTGGAATCTAAATTTAGTGCAAATTCTACTTTTCAATGGAGTCAACCCCCCTTAAGAAAATATATAAAATATCACTGTTTAGAACACTGATATCTGAAAAGCATTTCAGAAATTTTGGAACACTTCATTGTGGTCCTCATTCTTTTCAAGGTGATCCTATACCTTAGCTGATACCTATAAGGTGAATTAAAAAATTTCAAGTAGTTTCTTTAAATTTTCGATAGTTATATATGCTTGTTGGACACTTTTAAATCAATTTAAAAGTATGGAGATCAAAATACTGCTTACTTACCTTTCTCATTTCCCTCTGTTTCTCTGGGGTAGGTAACATCAATTATCAGTTATAGTATCCACCATCTAATCATTAATATTTGCACATACATGCACACATGTATGTAGCTTTTCTAATAATAAAAACTGAGATCATTGTTAGGTGTGGAATTTGTCCTCCTAAATTTATATTTTGAAATTATAAACACTAATAACAGCATGTAATCTTATTTGGAAATAAGTTTTCTTGCAGATATAATTAGTCAAGATGAGGTCATATTGGAGTAGGGTGGATCCCTAATACTAGATGACTGATATCCTTACAAAATAGAGGATTTTGAAGAGATAGAGACAAGCATGCAAACAGGGAGAGCACCATGTAAAGACGAAGACAGAGGCTGTGGTGATGTGCCATCTACAACCAAAGCAATGCTAAAGATTATCAGCAAACAATCAGAAGCTAGTAAAGATGCATGTAACAAATACTTCCTCACAGCCTTCCAAAAAAACCAATACTTTCCATGATTTTGTCTTGGAATTGTGGAGTCCAGAACTTTATCTAGCTCAGCCAGTTATGCAACTTTGTTACATCTGTCATAGCAAACTAATACAGTCATTACAAGCACTTATGTACAACTCTCTTGGGAGGTGTTGATAATGGGAGAGGCTGTGTCAATGTAGGTTTATCAGTTGTAACTTATATGCTGATCTACTGGGAGATGTGTTAATAGGTATGTAGGAAATCTCTACTTTTTTATTTTAATTTTGCTATAAATTTAAGACTTTTGTAAAAAACAAATACTACTGAATAATAAAATCTAATGAAAAGCACCTATTGCTGAATAAACTACATAAGATATTTTAACTATTTTAAGTGCACAGTTCAATAGTGATAAATATACCACTTAGTTGTACAACCAATTCCACAACTCCTTTAATCTTGCAGTACTACAATACTACTTCCATTAAACAATGACTCCTTATTCCTTCCTCTCTGGTAACCACTATATTACCTTCAGTTTCTCTGAATTTAACTCGCTAAGACAAACAATATAAACATAATCTATAGAACTTGTCACTTTGTGACTTGTTTTATTAGCATAATGTTCTGAAAGTTTATCCATGCTGTAACAAGTGTCAGAATTTCCTCCCTTAAGATAGAATAATATTTGATTGTATGTATATACTACACTTTGTTTACCTATTCATCTACTGATAGATAATTAGATTGCTTTACCTTTTGACTATTGTGAATAATGCTACTATGGACATGGGTGTCCAAATGTCTATTTGAAATCTTGTTTTCACTTCTTTTAGGTTTATACCTAGAAGCGGAATTGCTGAGTCATATTGTAATCTTATTTTTAGTTTTTAAGGAACTGCCATATTGTTTTCCATAGCAATTGTACCATTTCAAATTCTCACCAACCATGCACAGGGGGCTAACTTTTCCATGTCCTTCGTAATACTTGGTCCTTTCCCTTTCCTTCCCTTTCCCTTTCCTTTTCCCTCCTCTCCCCTCCCCTCCCCTCCTCTCCTCTCCTCTCCTCTCCTCTCCTGTCTTTCCTTTCTTTTCCTTTACATTCTCTTTTTCTTCCTTTTTCTTTTGATTTTAGCCATCCTAATGGGTATGAGGTTGTTTCTTACTGTAGTTTTGATTAGCATTCCTCTAAGTGATGGCAAGCATCTTTTCATGTGCATGCTGGCCATTTGTATATTTTCTTTGGAGAAATATTTATTTAAGTACTTTGTTCATTTTAGAATTGGTCTTTGTTTTGAATATTAATCCCTTGTATGACTTGTAAGTATTTTTTCCCATTCTGTAGATTTACTCTGCTGATTGTACCCTTTGGTGAATACCATTATCCTTATTTCCTAAGGGATACATTTAGGTCTGTAAGTATCTAATCTACACACGTGTAGGATAGATTCTTAGTGTGGAATGATTAGTTTAGCCTACAAAAGCTGTAGCAATTTATACTCTTAAAAAGTGTATAACTATTTTCCCATCTTCATTTCTTTGCCAGCACATGGAAGAGAGGTACTTTAACAATTGACATCTACATTGAAAAGGATATTTTTAAACATAGCGACTCTGTTCTACACAATAAGAGCCCATTACGTCATGGTTAACAATTAAACAAATTTGAGTCAAATTATGATCCCTGGAATTTAATGTGGAGTATATTAGATAACAATATACAACTTAGAAGTTCTGCCTCCAGCCCTACGGTAAAAAGCTTTTATGTGTATTTTATTTTTATTAAAAGCTCTATAATTAGCTTTTTTTAAACTTCAAGTGATTTACTTTAATGATTGGTATCATTTTATAAATTGAGTAAATAAATCTGCTCTAATTAATAGCTAGAGAAATAAGAGAAGCCAGTATGCCAGAATGATTTAGTCTGTGCAAAGGATGCAGTTTCACAACCCAGAGTTCTTTTCATTGCCAAGAGAACTGCTCCACCATGCACATGGCAAGGCCAGGCTGACTGCATGGATAACACAGGGTGATGAGGGATGATGTCTCATCAGTTTGGTGGTAATTATGTCATTGGAATTAGAGAAAAGAACTTGGTCTGAGTAGATATTTCCTTTGTTGTTATATTTTAAAATAACAACAAATAAAGAAAGATTATCATGCTTTTAGATCTTGAGATTAAAGGGGAAAGAGGTAGTGACATTTTCCCTTTTAACTGTACCATCTGTGTAAAGGGATACACTGACATTAAAGAGGTGGGCAAAGACATCACGTTTGTCTGTATTTCCTCTTCTTTCCCTGATGGAACTTTCTGTACAGAGCACTTTTGATGCACCACACTTACTTGTCCTGTATTAATCTGGGTTGAAATGTCTTATTGTTTCTAAGTCTCTGTATTGCAGTTATTAAAAACTAGAGAAGATGTAGAGAAGATGGGTCTGGTGCTTCCATATGGCTTTTCTAGTTTATTGGCTCCATTTGCTTGTAAAAGTATGTTTTCAATTACACTTAAAACATTTGAATCAAACTACTTTAGGAAAGTCAAGATGCATTGTTTTTCTTGCCCACATCACATACATTCTGGTTTATCAGGAATTTAAGGTACAATGCACTCATGTCAAATGGCCAGTGAGAGAATGGAGTTTTGGGAATAATGTTTTTTTTTTTTGGACCAGGGATTAAATTTGGGTTCTTGCTCTTTCAAGGCAGGTGGTGGAACCACTGAGCTAAATCCCCGGACCAGGATAACCTTGAACTACAAATAATAGAAGAACAATGAAATCAAGTGTTTATTCTGGATCCATTGTAAATATGACAGATTATGGGCATGACCATAAAGGACAAAAATATATGTAAAACCCAAAGGAAAAAATGAGAATACTTGGAATATAAGATCAAAATAGGAAATACTGGTTTGAAGTGAGCCTCGTTTCCTCACATAGAACTTTCTGGATGCTTTTGTCAATCAGCCATATATAATTATTCTTCTTTAACAAATGTGAAATTTGAGAGGGCTTTAAAACCACATCTTTAGTGAGACTAAAGGGGAGATTTTATTTTCCCCAGAGGAATAATCACTGATGATGAGTTAATAGTTAGTATTATTAGCACTTTGTCCAGGTCCTAGACAAGGGATTATTGTTTTATCGAATACTGGTTAAATGTTCATCTGTCCAGACAAAATTCACAGATGGATTTTACTGGGCCATACCCCAAGCAGGAAAAAAAAGACATCAATGAAAAGTGAAGTGGGGGTTATGACTAAAGTACTGTGAAAATACCCCCACCCCCATATACAGATGACCTTTGTGGGAACATCTAAGGGCCAGCCATGAGTCAGCTGTGCTTAGTTCATCATAGATGAAGCAGGTGAAGGTGGACTTGAGTCTTCCTTACCACATGTGGAGCAACTTGGGGCTCAGTATTGAGCTAATCACCGTTAAGGAAAGGCATTCTTCTTATCCTTATTTACTTACCATCTACTGCCATTGTTTCCACTTCTTCTGGTCTCAGGAGCTTAAGGTGCACAGAATTCCTAGAATGCTGGTTACAAATGCAAATTTCTGGCCCCAGCTCAAAAGATTCAGATTCAGTGGGGCTAGTTGGGGGTGTAAAATCATGGTGAAGATAGTCCTTGACCCAGACTTTAAAACGCTCTGGGAAACTCCCAGGATGAGAATGAGAGGGGCTGCCAGGGTATCATGGTTATAATTTTTTTTATCACATATTGCTAAGGGCCTCTATTAGAGCTTTCTTCTTGCCTTGTATTGTTGTTGCTAAAGACTTTTTGATTTTTGATTTCTTTGAAGAGACTTTTTTTCTTTTTTTTTGGTACCGGGGATTGAACTTGGGTCCTTGCGCTTGCAAGGCAGGCCACCAAACCGCTGAGCTAAATCCCTGGCCCCTTTTTTTCTTTTTTGAGATAGTCTTGCTGTGTAGTTCGGGATGGTCTTGAACTCATTATGTAGCCCAGGCAGTCCTCAAACTCATGGCGATCTTCGTGCCTCAGCCTCCCAAGTATGTACCACCATACCTGGCCTTGAAGAGACTTTTGACCATTCATATTTTTTTAAACCCCTGGAGAGCCACCAAATCTACTGTTTTGTCTCTGGTATTTCTGCTTTTTCTGCTATTCATTGGTTTACCTTTATTTATTCTTTCATCTAGCCATGCTTAGAATTTACCCTTGGTTTCAGGCTCTGTGCTGGAGATACACTGCTTGGTAAGGCAGACTCAGTTCAAGCCATAATAGAATTTATAGTCGAGAAAGGGAGAAAATCAGATAAATAAGAAGAAACACTGGGAGTGTTAGATGTCACAGAGGGATGCTGGCAATATGAGAACACATAGTAGACCACCTCATCTAATCTAGAAGATTAAAGAAGACTGCTGGGATTGGTAAGGATTTTGAGAGGTGATGAGAGTACAGAGTGTTCTAAGCAGGAAGAACAGAATAGCATGAATGAAAACCCTAGAAGAGCTATGGAACTTCTGAGAAGAACTGTGACTGTCATGTAGAATGAAACTGATGAGAGTAGGTGACGCGGAAAAGAATGCAGCTGGAAAGATGGGAAGGGCCTGATGAAGAAAGGCCTTGTAAATCCTCAGACATAGTTTGGATTCTAATTGAGTACTATGAAATATCTCTGGGAGGTTTGATACAGTGATGAGTCAAAATCTAGTACAAAAATTTCAGAGTACAGTCTCAGGACAGCAGGATGAAAAGTGCTCAGAGAATAGGCAAAGGGGAAAGGGAAGCATATTTATTTTCCTGTGACTGGAAGGAAGGAGCAAAGGAAAGAATGGCCTGTGGATAGGATGAGTGTGTTAACAGTACATTCAAGGTGTGTCTTCCTCCCAAGGAGAAAAGAGTGATGACAACCTAGAGATGTTCTTTGAGCAATTTGGGAATGAGATTGATGCTGAAACAAACTTCTCAATTAGAGCCATGTGTAGCTAAAAAAATGACACTAGCCATTTAGAAATACACCAAGTACTATTATCTTAGTCACTGTCTTTAATAATTAAAGCAAGTAACAAGAAACGATGATAAAACATTAAGAAACCAAAGGTATATATTAAATGAACCAGTGTATATGAGGGCCCTTTGTACTCTATTATGGGACTATGTTACACTGTGACAGTCTTTACAAAAGCAACCTCTCAGACAACCAAAGGCATGACATATGATTGGGATGTAATAACCAATTTTAGCATTGAGAATCTCTTAATGAAGACTCAGTGCCCCTTCAGGAAACAGACTTTTTTCTCCCAAAGAAGGATGGAGCCGGGGCTGTGGAGTTAGCTCAGTGGTTCTGCCGCCTGACTCACAAGCGCAAGGTCCTGAGTTTGATCCTCAGCACCAAATAAATAAATGGGTAAAGCAAAGAAGGATGGAGCCAGTTTGTGTAGCAGAAAGCTATTTGATTTCCTTATTTGTTCTAAAACCAAGTTCAAGCGAAGAAACGGTCTTAAGGCTTGAGTGAGAAAGGTAGAAATAAAAACAAACAAAACAACAAAAAAATCAACTCAAAATTTCACTGAAAGGTAAAATTCAGTCATGTCTTTTTTTAGGAAGTTTAGACAATAGAAAAAGGCTTCCACTGGGACTGCATGACCAAGTGGACTTTTCTTCTGAATACATAACACTGGACAGATTTGGAATGCGCTGTTCTTTTTGCTAAAGATGTTTTTCCACTCTTGGCTGTCCAAAACCTAGAGTTCAAAGCTTCACTACTACATTTTTATGCAGAATCAAATTGACCACAACACTATTAGAAAAAGACATGAGTCAGTATGTTTGGCTCTTTGTTTCTTTGTTGTGTTCTTTGGAAAAGAAAGATTGTAAGGAAAGAAAAGCAGAGAACATGGTAGAAGTAGAACTTATTCCAAGATTTCTTATGTTAAAATCACTGCTTTTTATTTATGACACTATAGTGGCTTCCCATAGATAATTTAAAGTTGCTTTTTATACAACAAAAACAAATTTGCTGAGTGGGAAATTGTAAAGCAATCCCATTTAAAACAGCCACCCCTCCAAATACCCAGGAATAAATGTAAGGAAGTGAAATAGTTGTATAATGAAAATTACAAAACACAGATGAAATAAATTGAAGACATGAAAAGATCTACAAACCTCCTCTGTTCATAGATTGGAAAGACTAATATTGTTAAAATGTCATACCATCCAAAGTAGTCTAGTGTTCCTGAAATTCTTCTTCTTGATAAAGAATTTGTTTCCCTGAAGTAACCCTTGAAAGTCATTCTGCTTTACTTTCACAATTTTTTTTATGCTACTGGCTGCTCTGAACTGTTGCTGGATATCATACTATTCAAACTTAGCCTCGATCGCAGAGAGAAAGAGCTTCAGAGATGACATCATCCCTGATCATTTTCCAGCTTCAATGGTAATTCTTTTAATGATGTTGAACAATTTACCTAATCTTACTAAGCTTTCTCTGCCTCAGATAAAGTTATTTTGTACCAAAAATCAAAGGAAGGGATGTATATAACACACATACCATAAACCGTAAGTTTCTCTTCAAAAGTTAATTATTATTATCTATACTATTTATAGATTATGTTCATGTTTAAAAGTTCCCTAATTAA